TTAGTTTCTTTTCAATATTTTTTGACAAGAGTATAACTACAAACTCATTATTATATGAAAAATTAGTTTAAGAGAATTCGTACATGTTGAGTTTATTATCGGGAATGAGTGGAATTATAAAGGTTCTTTTCACTATACTTAAGACCGCTACTGGTTCACCTATCAAATTCCTAAATTTACGAGACTAATTTAAGATATTATGCGATTTTCATATATCGTTTGTATACATTCTTAGTTTGTTTACGACCTTTTAGATATGGATTACTATGTGTATCCTACCTTAATGCAAATCATTGTGTTCACTCATTTTTTAGATAAGTACTCATGGGTCGAGTATAATAAAATCCGACCTTAGCTCAGTTGGTAGAGCGGAGGACTGTAGTTGAAGGAGAATATCCTTAGGTCACTGGTTCGAATCCGGTAGGTCGGAATTTTCTCTTGCATGGGTCTTGTTACTGCGTTGTGACTTTTGGTTTGTTGAATATTAGATCTACTTGGTATACGTTAGTCAGAGAATAAGACTTAATCAAAAAGATTTGTTCGAATACTTACACGATTGGTATGTTTAAATTTCTCAAATATTGATACCATAAGAAATGGTTTTAAAATTTCTAAAAACTATGAGCTTTCCTTGTTTCTTTCATTTAATCAAGATATAGTTATAGAGTTTTGAAAAAAAAAAAACTATTGGCATAATTGGATTCAAAGGCTTGAGGGTTGTGCCTATAAAATGTCAACGTTCATCCAAGGGTAGTGAAATGCCCTTTGCCACTTTCTTGCACGATTTTGGTGGCTTAGTTTTTCAAATACATAGACAATCGTAATCCACACTCAATATTATTAGAGGCATATATGTTAGTCAACACCAAAAATATCAACAAAGGAGCTCTTTAAATAAGAAAACAATTTCTTATTTTTAACAATGTATTAGAATAATGAAAAAAATCAAGATAGCCAAAATTTGTTTAGGGTTTTGAACTTGTTGGTTTAGTTCAGAAACTGCATCATGCTTAGGCTCGTATACTTCTCGCTCGAGATCATCATTTAATATAGAGAATTGTATATGGCTTGGTCTATTTTGAAATACGAGTATACTTTATTGAAAGTGGACGTGCCGGAGTGGTTATCGGGCATGACTAGAAATCATGTGGGCTTTGCCCGCGCAGGTTCGAATCCTGCCGTTCACGTTTTTATTTATTGTGTGTGTAAGTTTCTAAAATTTTGTATTACTTTTTGTGGAACTTTTATTTTGAATGGTTTTCCATCGATCATGTTAGTTTCTTTTTAGTTTTTAGTACCCATATAAAAATGCGAATCAATACACACGACAACGTGAAAGCTATAAAGTCAACTTTCTTTGTACTTCTCTTCTCGATAATTTTCAGATTGAGTAAAAGTCTTATTTGGAATCATCTACATGCATAAATTGTTACAATACAAAACCGACCTTAGCTCAGTTGGTAGAGCGGAGGACTGTAGTTGACGCAGATTATCCTTAGGTCTCTGGTTCGAATCCGGTAGGTCGGAAATTATATTCTGAAGTTTTTATTTTTTAGTTTCTTTTCAATATTTTTTGACAAGAGTATAACTACAAACTCATTATTATATGAAAAATTAGTTTAAGAGAATTCGTACATGTTGAGTTTATTATCGGGAATGAGTGGAATTATAAAGGTTCTTTTCACTATACTTAAGACCGCTACTGGTTCACCTATCAAATTCCTAAATTTACGAGACTAATTTAAGAGATTATGCGATTTTCATATATCGTTTGTATACATTCTTAGTTTGTTTACGACCTTTTAGATATGGATTACTATGTGTATCCTACCTTAATGCAAATCATTGTGTTCACTCATTTTTTAGATAAGTACTCATGGGTCGAGTATAATAAAATCCGACCTTAGCTCAGTTGGTAGAGCGGAGGACTGTAGTTGAAGCAGAATATCCTTAGGTCACTGGTTCGAATCCGGTAGGTCGGAATTTTCTCTTGCATGGGTCTTTTTACTGCGTTGTGACTTTTGGTTTGTTGAATATTAGATCTACTTGGTATACGTTAGTCAGAGAATAAGACTTAATCAAAAAGATTTGTTCGAATACTTACACGATTGGTATGTTTAAATTTCTCAAATATTGATACCATAAGAAATGGTTTTAAAATTTCTAAAAACTATGAGCTTTCCTTGTTTCTTTCATTTAATCAAGATATAGTTATAGAGTTTTGAAAAAAAAAAAACTATTGGCATAATTGGATTCAAAGGCTTGAGGGTTGTGCCTATAAAATGTCAACGTTCATCCAAGGGTAGTGAAATGCCCTTTGCCACTTTCTTGCACGATTTTGGTGGCTTAGTTTTTCAAATACATAGACAATCGTAATCCACACTCAATATTATTAGAGGCATATATGTTAGTCAACACCAAAAATATCAACAAAGGAGCTCTTTAAATAAGAAAACAATTTCTTATTTTTAACAATGTATTAGAATAATGAAAAAAATCAAGATAGCCAAAATTTGTTTAGGGTTTTGAACTTGTTGGTTTAGTTCAGAAACTGCATCATGCTTAGGCTCGTATACTTCTCGCTCGAGATCATCATTTAATATAGAGAATTGTATATGGCTTGGTCTATTTTGAAATACGAGTATACTTTATTGAAAGTGGACGTGCCGGAGTGGTTATCGGGCATGACTAGAAATCATGTGGGCTTTGCCCGCGCAGGTTCGAATCCTGCCGTTCACGTTTTTATTTATTGTGTGTGTAAGTTTCTAAAATTTTGTATTACTTTTTGTGGAACTTTTATTTTGAATGGTTTTCCATCGATCATGTTAGTTTCTTTTTAGTTTTTAGTACCCATATAAAAATGCGAATCAATACACACGACAACGTGAAAGCTATAAAGTCAACTTTCTTTGTACTTCTCTTCTCGATAATTTTCAGATTGAGTAAAAGTCTTATTTGGAATCATCTACATGCATAAATTGTTACAATACAAAACCGACCTTAGCTCAGTTGGTAGAGCGGAGGACTGTAGTTGACGCAGATTATCCTTAGGTCACTGGTTCGAATCCGGTAGGTCGGAAATTATATTCTGAAGTTTTTATTTTTTAGTTTCTTTTCAATATTTTTTGACAAGAGTATAACTACAAACTCATTATTATATGAAAAATTAGTTTAAGAGAATTCGTACATGTTGAGTTTATTATCGGGAATGAGTGGAATTATAAAGGTTCTTTTCACTATACTTAAGACCGCTACTGGTTCACCTATCAAATTCCTAAATTTACGAGACTAATTTAAGAGATTATGCGATTTTCATATATCGTTTGTATACATTCTTAGTTTGTTTACTACCTTTTAGATATGGATTACTATGTGTATCCTACCTTAATGCAAATCATTGTGTTCACTCATTTTTTAGATAAGTACTCATGGGTCGAGTATAATAAAATCCGACCTTAGCTCAGTTGGTAGAGCGGAGGACTGTAGTTGAAGGAGAATATCCTTAGGTCACTGGTTCGAATCCGGTAGGTCGGAATTTTCTCTTGCATGGGTCTTGTTACTGCGTTGTGACTTTTGGTTTGTTGAATATTAGATCTACTTGGTATACGTTAGTCAGAGAATAAGACTTAATCAAAAAGATTTTTTCGAATACTTACACGATTGGTATGTTTAAATTTCTCAAATATTGATACCATAAGAAATGGTTTTAAAATTTCTAAAAACTATGAGCTTTCCTTGTTTCTTTCATTTAATCAAGATATAGTTATAGAGTTTTGAAAAAAAAAAAACTATTGGCATAATTGGATTCAAAGGCTTGAGGGTTGGGCCTATAAAATGTCAACGTTCATCCAAGGGTAGTGAAATGCCCTTTGCCACTTTCTTGCACGATTTTGGTGGCTTAGTTTTTCAAATACATAGACAATCATAATCCACACTCAATATTATTAGAGGCATATATGTTAGTCAACACCAAAAATATCAACAAAGGAGCTCTTTAAATAAGAAAAAAATTTCTTATTTTTAACAATGTATTAGAATAATGAAAAAATCAAGATAGCCAAAATTTGTTTAGGGTTTTGAACTTGTTGGTTTAGTTCAGAAACTGCATCATGCTTAGGCTCGTATACTTCTCGCTCGAGATCATCATTTAATATAGAGAATTGTATATGGCTTGGTCTATTTTGAAATACGAGTATACTTTATTGAAAGTGGACGTGCCGGAGTGGTTATCGGGCATGACTAGAAATAATGTGGGCTTTGCCCGCGCAGGTTCGAATCCTGCCGTTCACGTTTTTATTTATTGTGTTTGTAAGTTTCTAAAATTTTGTATTACTTTTTGTGGAACTTTTATTTTGAATGGTTTTCCATCGATCATGTTAGTTTCTTTTTAGTTTTTAGTACCCATATAAAAATGCGAATCAATACACACGACAACGTGAAAGCTATAAAGTCAACTTTCTTTGTACTTCTCTTCTCGATAATTTTCAGATTGAGTAAAAGTCTTATTTGGAATCATCTACATGCATAAATTGTTACATTACAAAACCGACCTTTGCTCAGTTGGTAGAGCGGAGGACTGTAGTTGACGCAGATTATCCTTAGGTCACTGGTTCGAATCCGGTAGGTCGGAAATTATATTCTGAAGTTTTTATTTTTTAGTTTCTTTTCAATATTTTTTGACAAGAGTATAACTACAACCTCATTATTATATGAAAAATTAGTTTAAGAGAATTCGTACATGTTGAGTTTATTATCGGGAATGAGTGGAATTATAAAGGTTCTTTTCACTATACTTAAGACCGCTACTGGTTCACCTATCAAATTCCTAAATTTACGAGACTAATTTAAGAGATTATGCGATTTTCATATATCGTTTGTATACATTCTTAGTTTGTTTACGACCTTTTAGATATGGATTACTATGTGTATCCTACCTTAATGCAAATCATTGTGTTCACTCATTTTTTAGATAAGTACTCATGGGTCGAGTATAATAAAATCTGACCTTAGCTCAGTTGGTAGAGCGGAGGACTGTAGTTGAAGCAGAATATCCTTAGGTCACTGGTTCGAATCCGGTAGGTCGGAATTTTCTCTTGCATGGGTCTTTTTACTGCGTTGTGACATTTGGTTTGTTGAATATTAGATCTAGTTGGTATACATTAGTGATGGAATTAGACTTAATCAAAAAGATTTGTTCGAATTCTGACACAATAGGTATGTTTAAATTTCTCAAATATTGATACCATAAGAAATGTTTTATAAATTTCTAAAACCTATGATCTTTCCTAGTTTCTTTCATTTAATCAAGATATATTATAGAGTTTTGAAAAAAAAAAAAAATATAGGCATAATTATAATCAAAGGCTTGAAGGTTGTGCCTAGGATTGGATATTAACAAAGAAATCTATCCTAAGAAAAGTAATGATTCAGTTGGAATCATAAATCACCATGCCGAATTGAAGTTGGTCCACTATGACTCACCCAAAGCACACAAAACTCAAATCAACCGACCGAATGAAGACTTTTCCCATCTCATATTGAGTATTCACCCGCAAGTTACATATTTCAAGACATTTGGGCGAGATATATATAGGCATAATTATAATCAAAGGCTTGAAGGTTGTGCCTAGGATTGGACATTTTATGAAGAATGGGAGAGCCAACTCACTCCGTGTTCGAGTTAGTTTAGGAGTTACTAACCCAATTCGTTGGCCAATTCGGGTATTATATAACAAAAAATATGTAACCCAATTTATATAACAAAAAATATGTAACCCAATTTTTATATAACCCTAAAAAATTTTTACATATTATGGCTATATAACAAACATAACCATATTATATAACCAAATTTTACATAACAAACATAACCAAATTTTTTAGGTATTTTTTCGGGTACCCGATATTTTACGTACAAAATCCGACATTTTACATATAAAATACCCGAACCGAACGAGTACTCATATTTTTCGGGGATTCATAGGATCTAAATTTGTTTACCCAAACCGACCCGAACCCGACGATACCCAAACCGGACCGGGACCGAATGTTTAGAAATACTCGAATGGATCGTAAATTCATTATTCATTTAACCCGAACCCGAATGAGTTACCCATATGCCCAGACCTAATTATGATCAATAAATTACACATTTTTAAACCAAAAAAAATGTGGTAAATTATTAAAGTACGAATATTCAGTGACAAAATTAATGTCAGAAAACCAGTAAAGGATCGGCTAACTACAGGCTCTTGTATGAGAAAATGGGGTATCACACAATGTTTTTTATCTAGCGGTGAACCGAATGAGACACGGGATCACATATTTTTCTCTTGTCCATTCTCTTTCACCTTATAGATTAGTGTTGTCCAACCACTGCTTCAGCGTTGGATTACACCGAATTGGAACCGTAAACTCCATTCTCTATTTCCAATAGGGCACAGTCCAATGATTCCACCTATGGCGGGATCGAAACGGGCGTTAACACAAACAAGGGCACCCCTCACCCAAATGTTTGGCACAACTGTAACACCCTGGTTTCAGGAATATGGTGGTACATGCGGAGAGGTTTAAAAGAATTGATTTGGCCACCTATGTCACCAAGTGCACTTATCTTTTCGGTCAACTGTCCTGAGAGAATTCCACAGTTAAGTGTGCTTGGGATGGAGTAGTTTCAGGAAGGGTGACCTTCCGGGAAGTGATTGTCGGAACTGTGTGAGTGAGGACAAAACACAGGGAAAGATCATGTGGTGATTTGTAGGGTCGGTAAACAAGTCTTTAAAGCCTCCCGGACGTAGCGGACCGGCCGTCGTACAAGAGTGGGCCCACGGGCCCGAGAAAGGATGTGGGATCCACTGGTATGGACGGTCGGGGCGTTATAAACCATCCCTACCAGTGGGCCCCATGTCCTCACTCACACAGTTCCAACAATCACTTTCCAGAAGGTCACCCATCCCAAAACTACTCCAGTACAAGCACCTTTAACTGTGGAGTTCTCTCAAGACACTTAACCAAAAAGATAAGTGCACTTTGGTGACATACGTGGCCATATCAATTCTTTTAAACCTCTCGTATGCACCACAATATTTCTGAATTCGGGGTGTTACAATTCACCCCCACTAACAAATCGCAACGTCCTCATTGCGCACCAAGATCGTCACCCCCTATGGTGTGAGCCCTCTTGACCCACACTCAACAGGGTTCGGCTCTAATACCACTTGTAATGTCCCAACTGTCCCTACCAGTGGGCCCCACATCTTTTCTCGGGTCCATGAGCTCACCCCTGTCCGACAGCCGGTCCGCTACGTCCTGGAGGCTTTAAAGACTTGTTTACCGACCCTACAAATCACCACATGATCTTTCCCTGTGTTTTGTCCTCTCTCACACAGTTCCGACAATGACTTCCCGGAAGGTCACCCATCCTGAAACTACTCCACCACAAGCACGCTTAACTGTGGAGTTTTCTCAGGATAGTTGACCGAAAAGATAAGTGCACTTTAGTGACATAGGTGGCCAAATCAATTCTTTTAAACCTCTCGCACACCACCATATTTCTAAATTCGGTGTGTTACAATTCACCCCCACTAACAAATCGCAACGTCCTCGTTGCGCCCAATACCATCACCCCCTATAGTGTGAGCCCTTTTGACCCACACTCGACAGGGTTCGGCTCTGATGCCACTTGTAACGCCCCAACCATCTCTACCAGTAGGCTTCATGTCCTCTCTTGGGCCCATGGGCCCACCCTTGTCCAACGGCCGGTCTGCTACATTCGGGAGGCTTTAACGAATTGTTTATCGACCCTACAAATCACCACATGATCTTTCCCTGTGTTTTGTCCTCACTCACACACAATCACTTCCCGGAATGTCACCCATCCTGAAACTACTCCAGCACAAGCACGCTTAACTGTGGAGTTCTCTTAGGACACTTAACCGAAAAGATAAGACCATTTTGGTGACATAGGTTGCCAAATCAATTCTTTTAAACCTCTCGCATGCACCACCATATTTCTGAATTCAGGGCGTTACATTCACCCCCACTAACAAATCGCAACGTCCTCGTTGTGCACCAAGACCGTCACCCCCTACGGTGTGAGCCCTCTTGACCCACACTCGATAGGGTTCGGCTCTGATACCACTTGTAACGCCCCGACCGTCCCTTCCAGTGGGTCTCACGTCCTCGCTCGGGCCCGTGGGCCCACCCTGTCCGACGGCCGGTCTGCTACGTCCGGGAAGCTTTAAAGACTTGTTTACCGACCATACAAATCACCACATGATATTTACCTGTATTTTGTCCTCACTCACACAGTTCCGACAATCACTTCGCGGAAGATCACTCATCGTGAAACTACTCCAGCCCAAGCACGCTTAACTGTGGAGTTCCCTCAAGATAGTTGACCGAAAAGATAAGTGCACTTTGGTGACATAGATGGCCAAATCAATTCTTTTAAACCTCTCTGCACGCACCACCATATTCCTTAAACCGGAGTGTTACAACAACTCGTGTTGTCTCGTGTCGTCTCACTTCCCTCTACTATCCCCAGATATGAAGTTTGGTGAGTTTGCTCAACGTTGGGCTCATCTAAACCACTTATATCTCATGTGTCAACCTTGTTTTTGCTCTGTTTTATGAGTCATACTGCTCATTTGTTTCTTTTAAGTATGCATGTACATATACTTTCATATTTTGATCTATAAATTTCACATTTTATCAAAAAAAAAAAAATTTACGGAATAGCAAAGATATTAGCTTTACAAAATGTTATTAGAAAACTCAGTATAGATACGAAAATAAGGTGTGTTGGTGTCGGATCCCGCACCAGTGGACCGGGACCAACCAAAGATTGCCACGTAATCAAGATGAAGGCCCGCAAAGGATAAGGCCCATTAAGCCCATGGATCACAAGATATAATCGAAGTGGGCATCACCATAAAGAGAGCCCGGAGTGGTCACACCTCGGGATATGATTCGGAATCGAAGTCGGATGACTTGGGCCAAAAGGCGAAGCCCATGGAGATCGGAGTCAATTCAAATTCAAACGTTGGGCATTAAAACTCGAAGACCAAAACGGATGCATTTAAGAGAAAATAATTATGTTTAATTGAGAGTTAAATGTCATTTATCAATATAAATAAGAGGGCTAATAGCCATGTAAAGGGGACGCAATTTTTCTAGCAAATACACTATAGTCATTCCTATTGCAATTCATAGCTTTTTATCATATTTTTGTCCTCAAGAATAATCATTCCCACAAAATAAACAAATATTCAAGTGTGCGAATCCGACATCCACATTTTGGCGCCGCCTGTGGGGATCTAGAAGATTCTTGAGTTGTCAGATTTCTCTCATTTCCGAGATAAGCAGCAATGTCTGGAACAAGCATCCCTGATTCGACAGTAGCCGAGGCTCTCAAGACCATGCAGCAAGCCATAGCAGAAATATCGCAGAAGTTCTCGGATGTGGAAAAAGCTGTGGACACGCTTAAAACAACCCAGGTATCTCTTGGTCAAAACATCAATGCTGTTCAATCTCGTGTTCGTTCTCTAGGTGCAGGAAGTACCGTGGGAGTCCGAAGAAGCATGTTCAGTACGCCAAACTCCCGTGTGCGAAGTGAGACCAACGAACAAACAACTTCTAACCCGACAATCCAACCGGATGTGGAAGAAGAGACGCAGCTCGGAGATGAAGATCAGCTTTTGGATCAGTATGATCAAGAGAGCTTTGATCAGCTCGAAACCATGAGGAAGGTTAGCCAGGAACTAAAAGAAATGAAGTCAAAGTTCCACCAGGCCACCAGTTCGGAGCCGGACATTAACCGAGTCATCGAGGAAGCTAGGCGAACTCCTTTCATTCCGCGAATTGCAAATTTGAGAATCAAAGATTCTCGGAAACTCAAACTGGATCCGTACAGTGGATTAGAAGACCCAAAAAGCTATCTCGCAGCTTTTCTGATTGCCGCCGGAAGAGTCGAATTGGATGAAGCTGATGAGGATGCGGGATACTGCAAACTCTTTTCGGAAAATCTTTGCGGTCAAGCACTAATGTGGTTCACTCAGCTGGAACCAGGCTCAATCAATAACTTC